GCAGAGAGGGAAACCGCACCCTGAACGGGCCAGGCGTGAACAAGAACTTCCCCTCCAACACCGTAGCCTCCGTAGGAAGCTACCGGCCCTGAGCCAGACGCACGAAGCTAGGAGGCCAGGAGGCCAAAATGCTAAGAGTGGACAAGAATCCTACTCCTCAAATTTCACTGCCCCCCGAATCACTCGTGCCTCGTGATTTAGGAGCGACTAAAATTATTCCTCGCATGTACATTCACGCGTTCCCACGCGTGCAATGGGCAACACACGCGCGTGCAGCTGGCTGGGGCCGCCCTGGACAGTCTCCAGGGCACCCGCTACACCCAGGTGGGTCTGGACAGCTGCGCGAAGCGGTTTGCTACTGGTACCTGTGCCCCCCATGCAAGCAGGGGCATTTTTACTCAGCAGCGTCCGGCGAATCTAAATGTTCAACCAAGAACTCTGCTGCCGCCACGTTCCCCCGCGCCCTGGCTGAGACTTGCGCGAACGCGGTGAGCCCGCGCCACCCACCAGAATAAAATAAGAGAGTGGGGCCGTTCGCCTGCAATCAATCCGTCGCCCAACCTCGGCGAAAAGCATGCGTTCCCCAGAACATGGCGTTTTCTATGCCGCACGCCTGAGCTGCCACCTTGAGCGCGGCAAGGTTTTCGGAACATGTCAGGCCAGGAAACAGCGCTCCGGAATGACAGCTGCGGCGAGAAACAAGCACACATACTCCACGAAGCGCTTTACCCTGAAGGGCGCGTATGCACCTCCGAACCACTTGCACGGGCTCGGTGTAGCATTTCCTGTTGGTGAAAGTGATGGGCACCTCCTTGGGCGTACCAGCCGCCGCGGCGAGGCAAACTGGCGCTGTCACCGATCCAATTTGGAGAACCTCGCCATGCCGTAAACAGAATTGACGCGCCACGACCCAGGGCGCCCCAACGTCGGGCAGGCCGAACGCCGAGCACCACGTGGACAGCGCTTTGGTCTCAGCAGCGGTGGCACGAACGCAAGGCCGTCTGGGCGACCGGCCTGCCTTCTCAGCGCCACGGACGACCCGGGCCCTATCTGCCAGGGCGCCCAAAGGGAAATGCATCCAATGCAGCACAGCGTGGAGGTGGGACAAATTTCGCGCCAAGGTCCCTGCGCTCCGAAATAAGCTGACATATGCGTCAACCACGGGCGTCGTCGGCGGCGAAGGTGCAGATGCCGAGTGCAAGGCCACCTGGCCGTATAACCGCACTGCAGAAGAGTACCCTCGCGCACTGGCGCGCCACCCGCAAATTCGAGCCACGCAGCCTGCTCACTCATGGCCTCCAAGTGGACAACATGGCGGCTGCGAGTCAGCTCTTGCCTCGGCGAAGAAGAGGGCATCGGAAACGCATCCCCGTCAATTCTGGCCAAAACCAAGATGGCATCTGCGAGGGTTGCGGGACCTGGCATTTCCCCAGACGCGCGGGCCACAGCGCAAAGCTTGAAAGCCGCGCGCGCTGCCATTGCCCGAGAGTTTGTCCCTGACGCATGAGCAAGCACAAGCGGTTCGGGGAGTTTCGGGGCCTCGGAGAGCATCGTGGCCACAGCGCCGCGCACTACGCGCTCAGGTTCTGCAGAAGCACTTGCTGACGCGCACAGCTCCTTCAGCGCCTCCGCGAACGGCAAAGGTACGCCTCTGAGCGCAGATCAGATGTCCTGCGCCTCTGCCGCCGAAATGCCAAGGAAATCCGAATGATCTACTGTTCCATCGACGGCCAGATCCGACTGATGCTCGCCGCTCTTCGCAGCAAAACGCCAAGCGTGGAACTGCCAGCTGGTTCCACGTGGTCACGCGCATCGCTCAGCCTGGGACGGGCCGAACATCTCGAGCCAGCTCGTGCTGTCGTACCCAACTCTGGCCAATGAAATGCAACATTTGCTCCAATCGGCTACGGGCGGAAGCGCGCACTGGGCGACGAAGGACACCGAACAGGCGTAACACTGCACAGCCTCGCGAGCACACACTGGCCACGGACCAGCTGACGGGCCCTGCGGAAACAACCTCGGCCACAAACTGCAAGAACCAGGGCCGAACCAATGGATCCGAAGGAGGCGCCCAGGGCGCCAAAACATCAGGAAGCGGCGTTCCGACAAGAGACCTGTCAAAGTGGCACGCAGAGCAGAGATGAGGGTTTGTGCCGCACGATGACAGCGAAACTTCTTTTTCCACGGTCGGGTGCAGTCACTCCGCGCCCCAAGGCAGTGCTGCCGGCCATAACCAGGCAATCCGCTCAAAGCTCCTGGCGCCAAATGCGGCCACAACTGCGCCCCAGGTTCCCCACCTGGTGGGCCCATCGGCGAGGTTCAGCTTACTTGGAACACGGAACGCGTGCAAAGAGATGCCGGCCCTGGCGACCTGGAGCCAGAAATCAGTGCACGGAAAGAAATATTTCGCACTCAGCCAGTCCGCGCTCGATTAAACATCGGACTGTGCACGAACGGTTTCTTCCGATCCTTGCGGCTCCGTTGGGATCCATGCATTTTACTTTTTCCCGAAGCCAACTCTGCCATAGGCAGAATAACAAAACAAGTCAAGTTCCAACGATACAGCCGGTTATCTGATTCTTGCCGCATCTGCACGAAAAAAAAAGAATACACGGTCGCGTCTTCCGAAGAGTAGAACTAAAATATTTGCATCGCTCGGTGCTGGTGGGTTGTAGACATGGCCTTACGGAATGCTGGTGTAGGTTGTCGGCGCAATTCTCCAATCGGATGAATTTCCAAACCATTTTTTAACCGCCTTGCCAAATACCTGACTTGGAAAACGTCTGAGTGTTTCGGGTCCCTCTTCCGCTTCCTCCTGTTTTTGTCTTTTTCCTAGGGCGATGCTTCCTAGTATTTAGGATACGATACCCAAAAACGGATTACGGGATAATCCCACCAGCCCTTTGGGCGTGAATGGTTTAGATAGCCCGCTCTGTTCTCAACCCCCTTCTTCCCCTGGGCCTGGAGAGGGCGCCCCGCGGGTGGTTGGAGGGGTCTTTTTCGACTCCTGGGAGGGCTAAAAAACGACACCCCTCACGAGGATTCTGGCCCCGATGGGGGGAGGCAGAAAAATGCTCGCCTCTTCTTTGAAGCCAAAATCATTGATTTTACTACGGTTTTGGCCCCATTTTGGCCTTCAGAGGGGGCAGCGCTAATTAAAGCTCCCCTCTTCTTTCAAGCCAAAATCATTGATTTTACTAGGGTTTTGGCCCCATTTTGGCCTTCTGAGGGGGCAGCGCTTATTAAAGCTCACCTCTTCTTTGATTGATTTTCTCCAAGATGGCCCCAAGAAGCGCCCAGGAGGCACCAAGAGGCCCCAAGATGGCCCCGAGAGGCTCCCAGGAGGCCCCCAAGAGGATCCCAAACGGCGCAAAGAGGCCCTCCCGAGGCACTCAAGACGCCGGAAAGCCCATCAAGACGATCCTCTACTCGCGTGGGCGTCGTTTCTGGACGGGCAGGAGGAGGGGCCCGAACGACTCACACAAGGACGAGGGGCCCGAACAACTCACACCACGAGAAACCCGAACGACTCACACCAGGACGAAGAGCCCGAACGACTCACACCACGAAGAGCCCGAACGACTCACACCAGGAAAAAGGCCCGAACGACTCACACCAGGACGAGAAGCCCGAACGACTCAAACCACGAGGAGCGCTTTCTCTCCCTCCTCCTCCGCCTCGTCTTTCTCCCGCTCCCACCACAAGGAGGATGTACAAGGAGGCGGGAGGAAGGAGGAACAGGGGAGATATGCAGGGGCAGGCGGAAACACGCCTGAAAAACACGATTGTCGGCATGCTTCGCTAGAGTTGCTGTTTTGAGATGGGCTGGTGGAGATACGCGAAGCGTGAAGAATTCAAGCCGTGCCCCGCAACTTATTTGGCGAAACAACTCCCGAGTGGCAATATCGCGCTTCTGAACCAATCGAAACACAAGCATACACTACATTATTATACATTTACGGAAAGGTAGTTGCTGCACGTCGCAACGCAGCCGCGGGCGGAGGGGGGAGGAACACATCTTTTTTGTATGGGCACGTGGCCTCGATCCATGTGCGATTCGCCGCCACATTGGCACATTAATACGATGCGACGGAAACGATCAACGCGGCCACTTCTCCTTGACCACAAACCGACATGCGAGAGAGAATGCGCAACATACAGCTTGATGCCACATGCTCGCGGAGGCGGGGGAGGCGATTCCAGACAAAATTGAAGAAATGAACCACATCCTAATACAGCCAGGCGACACGAGAAGACTCGACCTGAGAATACCAAAATTAATGTTTCTGTTTCGCATGGGTTTCCAATGCTTTGTGATGTCACGATTTCTCGCCGATCGCTGGGATGGGGGTCCGGAGATATAAGACAAGTAAAACCAAAAAAAGCAGGCTGTTGGAGATGGCGGAAAGAGAAAACGACGACACATATAACCACGTCCTGGGAGCTATAATCAAGAACCAAAAGCTGTCCCAAACCGACATTCTGAAATGATGTAGGTTCCATCTTTGCGCGCTAATGTAAGAAACGAATTCAATGTTTTGCGCGTTCCACCTGCCGTGGACATCGGTATCGGTGGTCGATCTTGTTGAGAACTGCGTTGGAAACTGAACGAGCTCGAGGTGTAATTTGGAGGCGGTCCTCTCGTGCATTCCTCCTCCTCCTCCTCCTTCTCTTCCTCCCCCTCCTTGGGCGCTGCTTTGCCTGTGGCGTTGCTTCGCCCGGACTTCTGTGCCCATTTACTTTGGCTTTCTGCTTCGCAGGTATGGAATTTGCCGTGCGGATATGATTTGGTGTCGTTGTGTTTCAAATCGAAACGTCTCACACTTCTGACACCGGACCCGGTTATCTGCATTTGCAAGCGACTTTTCGGCAACGACGGATCGATTTAATTTACTCCATTCCTCTGTGACGTCACGGTGGTGCCCCCCTATCTCAGCAATTGATGGCCCGAGGCTTTGACCTATTAGTGTGGGTGGTCGACTTCGTGCGCAACTATAAGCACATGCGGGGGTGTTTATCAGGCTTGGGGACAGAAGGTGCGAGCAACAAACTATCGATAATGTAGCACCCCGCAGATGCGGATAAGAGTGAGGGGGCGGTGGGGACGTCGGCAGTCTGCGAGACTCTGGACTATATGACGAGCCCGCCGCAAGGGCCGATGTTTTGGTTAAACCAATGTGTCGCGGGTGGGTCGCAAATGGGTCGAGGTCGATCGCGGGAAAGTCGCGCGGGTGGGTCGCGGGGTGGGTCGCGGGTAGGTCGCGGGTGGGTCGGGGTGGGTCGCGGGTGGGTCGCGGGTGGGTCGCAGGGTGGGTCGCAAGGTGGGTCGTGGATGGGTCGCGGGGTGGGTCGCGGGTGGATCGCGGGTGGGCCGCGGGTCGCGGGTTGGGTCGCGGGATGGGTTGCGGGGTGGGTCGCGGGGTGGGTCGCGGGTGGGTCGCGGGCGGGACGACGACAACAAACAACGAAACAACAAAAGCAACAAGCAAAATCCTCACCACGGATCCCCACTTCAGCCACGCACCCAAGGACAATGAATGACCGTTCGGCCCCCTCACTCTGATTTATACATGTACGTGTTGTTCCCTTCCCCTCAAGCGCAGCAGCAGCGACCGCCACCAGCCAGCGAGCGATCAAGCAGCGGACGCGAAACTTGAACCCCAAGATCATTCAACGAAACGTCATTATTGTGTGGACTATCCGGGCTTGTACTACCGAAGGCAATCGCGCACTCAGCTTAGAACCCGTACTGGGACCTGGCGCGGACTTTCGTGGAACCGACTTTAGAGTTGGTAGTGCTGGAGATAATTTTAATATTGATGTTTTGTTTTTTGTTTTCCGTGGTTTGCGCCTGCATGGCAATGATCTGGGTTGTTGGGTTGATTGGGTTATCTGTCGTGAAAAACGCTTCCTTCCTTCAGTCAGTAAGAACACACACGCGCATGAAGGCGAACCTGTAAGTTAAGTGTTGCCATTGCGTGCCAACTGTTCGCATGGTTTTATGCATTGGTTTTGCGCGTGTGGTTCGCGTATAATTCATTATTACAGCTTTTGCGCATTAGCTCAATTCCGGCCACGTTGCATTCGTACTTTTTGTAGCTCCTTCGTACCCGATTTAGGCTTACTTGTCTTTATGTATCTACAACCTTTACTTTTGTGTACGATCCTTAATGTCTATCTCCGTCAACTTGCCCATGAGGATGTTGGGAGCCCCAGGCGCCTAACTGGGGCCTTTGTATGTGAATGTATGTGCCAGGACTCCCTCACTCGCGAAGCGCATGCACGGCGATGCCCTGCCTTGACGTTGCCATGCGCTTTTTTTTCCGAAACTTTCGTGGACAATCAGCGCTCGCATTCCCTCTCCCTGGTCTCATCGTTCGATGCGGTCAGCGCGGCGCTCTTCGTTGATTTGCTTGCGACACGCGCCGTCTTCGCCAAGCTCGGCAGAATGCTATCGGACTTGGACGTTCTGATCTGCTCTTCCCTGGCAATCATGGCCACGCAGGACGAGCCGTCTCTTGAGCCAAAGAGCAGACGGAACTGAGGGTGCCAAAGTGCCAGCAAGGGGGCAAGAGCGGGGGAGCGCCCGTCCGAAGGGATCCTGCTGTCATCTGGCAGGGGACGGAGGGAGGTCCCCGCAAGGGGCGAGCGGCAGGGGCCCCCCTATGAGAAGAGCTCGCCTGCATCTGATTGCCGGTCGTTGGCCTGCTGCCTTTCTCGAACGTTCGCGCCGAGAGGCAGAGCCTCAACCCTGTGGAGGAGGAGGGAGGAAGCGGGGAAAAACACCCTGCCCGCCAACTTTCCGCGACGAGCGCCGCCAGCCTCGCCCCGCGGTCCTCGCTGGCCGCCACCTGCGCGCGCAGGGCCCGCAGCGAGACCTCGCTGCGCTTCGCCGCCAGGAGCAGGCACACCTCCGCCTGCGGGAGGGCGCGGGAAAGGAGGGGGGAGAGGGAGGAGGGAAGGCTTCGGGCTGCGCGCAGATAGCCCCTCCAGGTGACCCTGGCTGGCCTCAGCAGGCCCACCGAATGGCCTGAGGCGGTCCCAACACCCTGGCGCAGCCTCCAGCGGCGTCCCTGGGGCGCCCCAAGAGTCGGGGTGTTGAAGCCGCCCTGGACTATCTGCGAGGCCTGTTGACGGCAGCTGGGGCTACCTGGGGTGGCTGTCTGTGCGCAACTCAAGGCTTCACCAAAAGGGAAACTCATGAGGACCGCAAGGGCAAGGAGAGGTGAAGAGTGGGAAGAAGATGTGGCGAGGAGGACAAGACGAGGACCAGAGCAAACCCAGGATGCACCAACGATGCTGCAGTACGCCGTCCGACGTCGACCAGCGATGCTGCAATACAACCCTCGATACCATCCACTTCACTACAAGAGGCGCCCTTTGAACTAAACCCACGGCCCTGTCATTCAAGCGAGAACTCTGTCTTGAAAACAGATCTGACTTGCATAACCTCATGCCCGTGAGAATAAACACTAGGGGATAATAAAGTTCGGGGTTCAGGGAGAGATAATAAAAGTAGCCCAGCAGACCTCAGCATAATCTCGAAGCAAGAGATGATCAAGAGGAGACCAAGCCGAGCACGTTTTGAGACATCCTTGGCGTTTAGTTTTCATAGAATCCTCAACAATGGCTTATCTCGCTGGAATGGAGGAAGCTATATATAGAAACGAAAAATAAAACAAATAAACTATAAAATAAATGACATGATAGGAGGAGGAAAAAGACGAAGAGAAGATAAAATCTCGAGTTTCAAATCTATTAGATTTTATTTACAAGCGCTTTATGAAAATTGGTTTTTGTAAGTGCTCGTGTAGGGTAGGTAGCTCATGTGCCTCTCAATTTCCATGGATAATCAACCCCAGAGATAAAAAAAAGTTCAGGCGAGCGTGGGGACAGAGAAAACTATAAAAGAATCATAATACAATCTAATAACAATAAGAAAGAAGAATAAGAGGATAATAAGAAGAGGACGAACAAAAAGACAAATCCAAAGTTCCAAATCTATCAATTTTAATTTACAAACGCTTTATGAACATTGATGTTTTTAAATGCTCGTGTAGGGTAGCTCATGTGCTTCATTTTCCATGGATAATCAACCCCAGGGATAAAACAAAATCAGGCGAGCGCGAGGGCAGATATAAATATACAAGAAGAATAAGAAACTATAATGATAATGATAATAATAATAGAAGAAGAAGAGAAGAAGAAACATATAAGAAAAACGAAACAATGGAAAGTTCTAAATCTATCAATTTTGATTTACAAACGCTTTATGAACATTGATTTTCTAAAGTGCTCATGTAGGGTAGCTCATGTGCTCCCCTTTCCATGGATAATCAACCCCAGAGATAAACAAGTTCAGGCGCGCGCGGGGATAGCAACATCGCTTGATGTTGCTATCTCAACATAGCGTTTCGAGGTGATAATGAAGTTCGGCCTCAGCGCTCGCCGCCCAATTTGAATTTTGTATAGGGCGACGATAATCAACTCTAAACACTGAAGCGGGGGGTCCCTTTATTATCATCGGCATGCGGTTACTCGTGCGGTGAATGAAGAATTCGACAAGGACGGATCATACAATTCGACTGCCTGTCCAACGAGAGCCCCGTTTTGAGCAACAACTACTGCCCCATCCGTGCAACGAGCGCGATCGTTTTTCACTTTCAAGAGATCAACAATCGAGAACCTCAGTGTTAGAAAGAACTGCCCTCCGCGCAAATCTTACATGTGTCCAAACTTATGGTCTCTACGGTTCAGGACACAACAAACGCACAACCCAATTCAAACAATAACCGTCCTCCATCCCCTATGTCGAGTGCAAACCTTTACGACGAATGCGCGCAGCGCTAGGACGCCATCTCTATTTTGATGAGGAGTTGACATCCATCTCTGGAGCAAGCGCGAATTTATAAGAGGAGTGCGCGCGGCGAAGACGAGAACTCCAATTCGAAAGCGCACCTGCATCCTCCAAACTGTTGCAAGCTTTGAAGACGGTGAACGTGCGCACCCTTACGGCGGGAGCTCAAATTTTACAAGGAGGCGCCCTCAGTCCTTCTAGTGGCTTCGACATTTGAAAACGGCAATGCGCGGCGCTGAGGCGAGAGACATATTTGACGTCCCCACCGTCCCTGTCATTACTGCAATCTTTTTATAACGAATGTGTGCGGCGATGTTATGCGAAAAACCCACTTTGAAAACAGCCTCCTTCATCCTGCCATTCGTTGGCAACTTCAAGTTTCAAGACCAGCAACAGTGAGGAAGCCTCAAACGACGCGCAGCTGGCTGGCGTCTGCATTGCTTACCTTTGATTAGCGATTGCGGCCCCTGCCCACGCTGAGACTCGGTTGCTACCTATGTAGTGGGAGGGCGGGCGGGAGTGGACGAGACAACCGTCCTTCGTCGGGGTAGCCTTTGTCACTGTTCTTCATTCGTATGCGCGTAACTCCCCTCGCAGGGGTAGAAACCAATTTGATCAAACTTACTATTTGGAATATTGTGATATCTGCTGCTTTCCCTCTCGTGTCCTCCCCCATCCTCCTCCGTGCTTCTTTCGTCTCGCCTGCTTCTTCTTCTGGCTATGTCATCTGTGTGTAATGTGCCCTCATCCTCCTTCTCGCCTTCGCAATCTTCCACATGCCCTGCTGCTGCTCCTGATCCCTTGATCCTTCTTCTTGGCTTCATTCTCCCTCCCACTCCTCCTGCTCGCCCTCCTGTCCTGCCACTCCCCCGCCCCTTCCTCAGCCGCAGCCGTTCTGGCTTTGCCTCACGTCCCATCGTGGACAGATCTCGGCACACGGCCTCCGAGCGCCCCAGAGGCCGCTCGCGAACGCCCGCTCCCCGCGGACTGCTCCAGGGGGCGTTGGCGGTGACTGAGGGCAGGCGGCAGGGGTAGGTCGGCGGCGAGCGAGGGGGAAGTGAGAAGGAGAAAACTTTCTCAGAGGGCGGCCGGACTTCTCAGAAGCCCTCGCGCCTTCTGAGAAATTTCTGTTGGTCTTCGGGGAAGGCTTAGAAAACTTCTCAGAAGGCCAGGGGACGTCCGAGCCTTCTGAGCAAGAAAGCCTTCTCCTTTTCACTCCCCCCCCCTCGCTCGTCGCCGGGTAGGCGGGTTGGCGTGGTGGCGGGTTGGACTTGCTGGGCTGCTTGGCGGGTTGGCAGGCGGCCTGCCTGGGCTGGCCGGTGTGCTGGCCATGGCAATATGCTTCGACGGCGGCCGGGGGCCCTGTGGACGTCCCCTGCGTGGGCACGGGGGGTGTCGAGGACGGCAACTTTCCCGTCGAGGGCGTGGATGTCGGGAAGTACGGGTGCCAGTGTCGCATTCGGGGCCTCCGACCGTCCTCGGCCCGCCCCCCCAAGAGACCCCGTCGGCTGCCAGCCTGGTCCCTGGAAGGAGGCGGAGGAGGAGGCGGAGGAGAAGGATGAGGAGGAGGAGGAGGAGGAGGAGGAGGAGGAGGAGGAGGAGGAGGAGGAGGAGGAGGAGGAGGATGAGGAGGAGGAGGAGGAGTAGGAGGAGGAAGAGGATGAGGAGGACGGTTCCCAGCCGTTCTCGCCGGGTGAGAAACGCCCCCCCCCCTTCTCTTCGGAGGCGTCGGAGGGCTGGCGTTGCGGGAGTGGTGTTGGCCTGGTGGAGGGTTGGGCTGGTTCGGCTTGTTGGCGGGGCTGCTCGGGCTGGCTGGTGCGCTGGAGACGTGAGGCCGACCAGCGACCAGCCCGGGACAAGGAGGGCCCCATCCCCGCCATCCCTGTCAAGAAAACAATGCAACATGCACTTTGCGTCAGAATCTTGGGAGCCCCGCAAACATGTTATTTTGTTTTATGACAAGGGCGGCGGGACTGCCAACGGCCACCATCCGTCAAAACAACACAATCTGCACTTCGCGGCTAAATTTGGATCGTGCGCGGCCACCCCGCGATCACTTTGTGCCAGTTTTTGACAGGGACGGCGGGGGTGCTGGCATATTGCCTGCTGTGTGCAGGCCCACCAGACATCATGATGGCCTCCGCCGCGATGGCGCACTTGTTTTCGACAAGGATGGTGGGGGCCTACATGTTTCCCGATGTGCGCGGGCGCACCTGGCACACTCTGCGCGTGCCCCAAAAGTGACGCACCTGGCGCGGCTAGAGCATGCGGCACACTTGGCGCATGGGGAGCATGCGGCGCATCTGGCGCACCAGGCACGCTTGGGCAACGGGGGCGCCCGGTGCGCCTGGTGCGCGTGGCGCACTTGGCACGTGTGGCACACCTCGCCCCAGCGTCGCCCACCTGGGATCTGCATTGGTTCCCAATAGCTGTCCATCCAAAGATAACCGCTGAATATGCTGAGACTCGGGTGCTACTTTTTTTTTTGTGTGTGTGTGTGTGTGTGTGTGTGTGTGTGTGTGTGTGTGTGTGTGTGTGTGTGTGTGTGTGTGTGTGTGTGTGTGTGTGTGTGGGGGGGGGGAGGGCGGGTGGGAGTGAGCCAAACAATTTGCGTCTGAGAGAGGTGTCTTGACCCCTCCCCCTACCCCCTACCCGTGGGTCTGGAGGGGGGTCGCCTTCACTTAGAGCGTCTAGGATGGCCTCATCGGTATTTTTTGTCTTGCAATTGTTGTGCCAATTTTGGCCTCATGAGGAAACGATGCTGATTAGCGCCCTCGTTTCTATTATCAATATCCTCCAAGATGATACAACCACAGCCTGAAAAACCCAAGAAAAACCCCAGGAAGGCCCCGAGAGGCCCAAGATGGCCCAAAGAGGCACCCGAAGATGCCTCGAAGAGACCCCCAAACGGCCCCCAAGAGGCACCAAGAACCCCCCAAGAAGCACACAAGATGCTACAATAACCGCCCAAGAGCTGTCAATATTCCCCCAAGACGTCCCATGAGGCCTCTAAGACCAAGGATGTATCCCGATGATGCCTCGCTCCCCCGAGAAGGGCAGCTCCCCGGGGCATCGTTTCAGGATGGGCTGGTGTGGAAACGCGAAGCGTTAGCAAAACAAAGTGGGCTGGCTTGCAGCGCAGGGGTGCAAGGGTCTCTGGAGAACCTTCTTGGAGTGTCTGAGGGCTGCCTTGGGGGCTCTCAAAGGGGCGTCTCGGGAGCTCTTGGGGGTCTCTCAATGGGGCCTTCTAGACGCCGTGTTTTGGGGGGCCTCTGCCGGAGGGTCCTGCGACCTCATAGGCCGTCTCGGCGCGGCGTCCTTCTGGGGTTCCTTGGGATCCTTCCTGGGCCATCTTCGGGTCCCTCTGGGGCTTTCTGGGGCCGGGCTGAGGCCTCCTTCGAGCATTGTGATGCCCTCTGCAGCGCCCCCAAAGCCATCTGAAGGAGGAGCCTCTCTTGGAGCCTCTACTGAGGCATCTTGCCGTTAATCTCTCGTGGCCGTGCTGGAATCATCTTGGGGCGTCTCGGGCCACCCTCGGCCTTCTTGGCGGCTGGTGGGCGTCCTTCTGAGCCATCTCGGAAGTTTCTTGACGCCGACAAAGGCGCCCGCAGATCCCACAGCAGGCCCTGGACCCCAGGCCCGAATTGTTCCTCGGGGGGGGGGGACCGGGCCCAAGGACGTGGTGGCCGCCTTTCCAGAACTGCCCTTCGCTAGGCTTCCTCGGCTTCCGTGCGCCTTGGTGGGCATCGTATGCTCATCATGTGCCCATCGCTGGGGGGTCCCCCCCTCCCGGAGGGGGGGCGAGAGTCCCCGGCGGCGCCTCGTCCACGGCCGCCCTCTCCCGGGCGGCGGCGGCGAGCCGCTCCCGCAGCGCCTGGGGCAGCCCGCCCAGGGCGGGAGGTGCCTCTCTTGTTTCCTGCCTCCCTGCCTCCCTCCTCCTCCTCCTGGTCCTTGTCGTCGTTCTCCTCCTCCTTTTCCGCCTCCTCCTCCTCCGCTTCCTCCATCCATTCATTCACTTTGTACACAACTCCTCCCTGTTCGCGCCCCCAGACGTGTCGGTAGGGTGGGCCTGGCGTTTCGCCAGAGCCTTCCAAACCATTTGCGATCCGGAAACTCGGAATTGGCACAACAATTCCATGGATGGAGGGCGGGACGTTGTCACCATGGAGCTTTCGCCTTAGCGCCGTGCACATTTGCCTTAAACATTTGCAGGAGTTCCAATGTGGAGGACGGGCTGTTTTCAACAAGTGCATCTCGCTTTAGCGCTTGAACATTCGCCTTACAAGTTTGGAGCAATTTCAATCAGGCGGATGGCTCCTTTTCAAAATGTGGCTCTAGCCCTAGCACCGCGCGCATTTGTTGTTTAAACAAGTTTGCAGCCGTTTCAAGGATTCGCAGGGTTGAAGTCGCTTGAATGGTGTTCTGGCGTGGTTTAGGATTATCTGGACTCAGCAATCATATTGGCTAGCGGTGAACTTCCCATGATGGTGTCAGGGCGCAACAATAATTTTGGTTCGCAACGTTGTTGTCCCAATCTTGGTTTCGGCACGATGGAAACTACTCAGACGATTGTCTTTCAACGGGGCACTTCTGGCAATGAAGATAATTATTGCAGGGACCTGCGAAGAGGGAACCTGGAGAGAGGGTTTATTGCAACGTCGTTGATGCGCTTGGGTTTACACTAGAGGTTTCCTCCTTCTTCCCTCCCTCCCTCCCTTCCTCCCTCCTCCCGCCTTCTCCTCCTCGGCATCCTCCCTCCGTCCTTGCCTCCTCCTTCTCTTCCTGCTCCTCATCCCTCCTTTCAAGCCACTCCCCCGCGGTGCAGGAGAGAGAGAGAGAGAGAAAGAGAGAGAGAGAGAGAGAAAGAGAGAGCGTGCTATGTACATATATATATATATAGAGAGAGAGAGAGAGAAAGAGAGAGAGAGAGAGAGAGAAAGAGAGAGAGAGAGAGAGAGAAAGAGAGAGAGAGAGAGAGAAAGAGAGAGAGAGAGATGGAGAGACAGAGAGAGAGAGAGAGGAGAGAGAGACTGAGAAAAGAGAGAGAGAGAGCACATCCTCCTCCTTCTCCTCCTCCTCCTCCTCTGTCCTCCTCCTCCTCCTCCTCCTTATCATCATCATCATCATCATCCCTCCCTCCCTTCCTCCCTCCTTTCCTCGCTCCCTCCTCATCTTCATCCCTCCCACTCCTGATCCTCCCTGCCTATCTTCTCCTGCTTCACCCGGCCTTCCGTAAGACGACGGCAGGACAAGAACAAGTTCGGATGATGATGAACTGGGAATATTTGCGAACTGACGGGTCTGAGATTTAGCGGGTCTGGGAGCGCTCTGGCGGGTCTGCAAATAGAATGCTCTGGAGCGATTTATTCTCATCCTAGGCTGGCTTGGGTCTCCTCTCTTCCTCCTCCTGCTTTCTGCCTTTCTGTGGGCGCGACCTCAATCATGTGAAAACACTTTTGCATTGGCGCGTTGCGTGTCATTGTTTGGCGCACTGCTCGGCATATTGCTTGGCATTGCGTGTCATTGCTTGGCATTGCGTGTCATTGCATGGTGAGGCAGCAGGCAGCAGGGAGCCACGACCAGAGGAACAAAGACCGAGGAACCACGGAGGCAGCACGGTACCGAGACCAAGGAACTGAGCAACAAACACCAAGGAACCCAGGAACTGGCACCAAGAAGCCCGAGGAACGCAGCACACAAACCGAAGAACCAAAAGCAAGAAGCCCGAGGAAGGATGGCCAGCCAGGCCCAGCAACCACCGATTCTCTTCACAAACAAGCGAGAGCCCCGTACGTAAACAAAACCGAATTGAGGAAACAACGGCATGAACAGGACTACTGGGGTTCCGCCCGGATTTCCTGGACCTTGAACCCCTGGCGCCGCTTGTCGCGCTAGGGATGGGGGGTGGGTCAGCGCCGATCCAGGAAATCCGCGCGGACCTTTCTATATTGATGTACCGTCACTTTTCATCCGATGGTACTGCCTCATCCTCACCTCATGAATGTCCCAGGCTCTCTCCCTCCGTCTGATCCTGCTCCTGATCTGTTGCTCCTTCCTATTCCGAGGCATCGAAACCATATCGCGAGGGAGAGAGAGGATGAGGGACACCAGAACACTGGTCGAAGCTCGAAAACTCGAAGAGGCGGAGGAGCGGGAAGAGCGCGGGAGGATCAGCGTGCTTGCGGCACGTGCTACAATCACCCTCCTTCAGATTCGACGTCGAAGCGGTCCACCTTTCGTGCTGTTTGTCGCATGTCCACTGCCATGTTGGTCATATCGCAATGCAATGTGGCTGCATCGCCAAAAAACGATAGACTCTCCAGCCGTGTCGCACGGGAAAACCGCAGCCTAAATATCGATATTGGTTTTTGATCAACGGGTCCTGGCCCCACCGATCCTGGCACCTCCTCCTCCTCCTCCCTCCTCCCTCCTCCTCCTCCTCTTCCTCCTCTTCCAAGGCGATAGGTCCCCGATAGCGCATCCGCGAGTTCCTGGGCGGGGCAGGCTACGCGGGCCACATGTCAGCGATGAATGGGCGATTGGGCGTCGGTGCACTTGCCGAAATCGGCGGCAAGCTTGGGGGGAAGTGAGAAGGACAAAGGCCTTCTCGGAAGGTTCGGAAGTCCCCCGGCCCTCTGAGAAGTTTTATACAGTCGGCCTTGATTGGACAGGACACGCGAGAGGACACAAGACCCGAGGGCCACATCGCCACAGGAGTGTGAGAAGGCACGTGTGGCGAAGCACAGGACACAAAGGTACCCTTGAGCTGGCAGGGTCGACCTACTAATCCGGGCCGACTGTAAGCCTTCCCCGAAAACAACAAAACTTATCGGAAGTCCTTCTCCTTCTCATTCCCCCCTTTCGCTCGCCGCCGACAGAAGCTTGTGCCCGCCTGACGTTACCCCTCCTTACGCTTTCGAGTCATATCTCGGCTCTCGGGCGGCCGTTCGGGGAAATCTGGGCACCCACCCGAACGCCTTGGCGGGGCGAACCTGCTGGAGCGCACCACGAGGCTGGAAAGCCGACGAGCACAGACGACGATGACAGAACACTTGGAACCTCGATTCATACCGTTTGCCCCCCCGTCGTGGCTAGTGGCCTCCTGTTTGGGGTCCGAGTAGATGGGGTCGGAAGATCGCGCCGAGGAAGCCGATGCATCGCCGATACATCGGCGATGCATCGGCTACGTGGGCGGGTGGAGCACAGAGGGCTCCACATCGATCCACATCCCCGATGCATCGGCGACGATGCTTGCAAATGGACACCAACACCAAAACAGAGGGTTGCCTCCACTGGGGGAAGATGATCCTAGATTCTGGTGTTGGTGGTAATGTTTCGGTCACCTAGGAGGCCCGAATATTGGATTGACACCATCACCGAGATCGGGATCACCTGACCTCGGTGGAGGCACACCGCCGATATTGGTGTTGGTGTCAACCTCTACTTGGGCCTCCGATACGCGGCGCGATCCCCCGACCCCATCTGTGAGGCCCAGGGCTGCCCGCCCCTCGGGAGCCAACCTCGGCGGCGCTCCCGCGAGGACGTGGCGTGAGAGGGGCAGCGGGGCTCCTGTGAAGTCAAGGGAACTTCTCAGAAGCCTCCCTCGAATCCTCCGGTGCCTTCGGAGAAGGCCCCCTGCCCTCTCAGGCTCGGGCGTACGCTGACGTGGATCAAATATCCCTGGATCTGGCGCGTGGGCGCCAACTCCACGGATCTGGGAAGGCACCTCCAAAACCAATACCGCCTCATGTGGCGACGGACTTCGCCGACTGTGTATGGAAATGGGACCCGTCGCTATGGTAGGTTCGTGTGGCGTCGGCGCGCGCACACATTCTTGACACCGCGTCGATCGTTCAACCTTGAATCGATCGCGGCCCCGATCGTTCAAGGCTGAATTCCGTCTCGTCCCGTGGCGTTTTCTCATGCCCCTCAGTTCGGCGGCGAGCCCGGGGGGGAAGCGAGAAGGGGCGGGCCTTCTCAGAAGGCTTGGAAGAACCCCCGCCTTCAGAGAAATTGTTTAAGCCTTTCCCGAATACAGAGAAGACGTCTCAGAAGGCGCAAAGGCTTCTGAGAAGCCCCGCCGCCTTTTGAAAAGGCCTTCTTCTTCTCTTGTCATTTCCCCCCTCGCTCGCCGCCGATCCATGCGTCCGCACCGATCTTTCATGCGGAACTCAACCTTGACCGCCTTCGACGGCGTCGCCAGCGCGCCGTCGCCGCGTAATCCTAATCCGTATTCTGCGCCTCCTCGACAGCAACCCCGTCCGTCAGGTCGGGCATGTCCTCCTACAGGCGGATTTTGGAAACACTTTCAAAAAGTCACAGAATAATCAAAAAGAGCACGCCACATCGTCCCCAGACTATTTTGACAATTCTTGCGTATTCCTCCTGTAAAGGGACATGCCCGACTGAACCCCTCCGCCCCGGCGCGACAGGCCCTCGGGGCGGGCCGGCGGCGCCTCCGCCTCCGCGCGCTGCGCGGCGACCCGCAACCGCAGGGCCTCCGTCTCGTGGGGCGTGTAACGATCCAGAAGCCTCCTCGAGGGGGTCGGAGGATCGCGCCGCATCGCCATAATACATCGGCGGTGCATCGGCGATGCACGGGCGATGCATCGCCGACGTGGGCGATGCGCCGGCGACGTCGACGTGAGGCAAATCGGGCTCCACATCGAGCCGTATCGGCGATGATCGCCGATGCGGCGCGATCGTCCGACCCTATTTACTCCAACCCCATCTAGGAGGCCTAGACGATCGGAGGGGACGAAAGGGTAGGATATCGTAGGGCCGGGTAGAGAAACAGCTCACGCAGCTGGTTTTCCTGGAGCCACCTGGCGCCGGGAGGCGCCCATGTATCGAGGAATGCGCCTGGCGGCGGGGCGGACAAAAAGCTGCATGTCGCAAATTTCGTATCCCCCCCTTTCCCTAATTATCCTGCCCTTGCGTCCGGCCCGAAACGAGGGGTGCGTCCAGGATGACAGACAATGAGACAGAAGCCGTGCACGTCAGAGGATCTTACGTGAGATGATGTAGCGACCTAACGCGGCGGCTTGCGCGGGCCGCAAGCGCGGCACGCCACTTTGGAGACGAAGGCGCTTGCGCTCGACCTTACGCAGCGAGCTTCCGCGCCACTGTCGGCGCAGTCGACCCTGCTTTTTTGTGCGTCGCTCACGTTATGGTGCAACGGAGATGATTGGGTGAAACCACCAGCGTGCTGCTGAAACTCTTCTCCAGGAACCCGACAGATCTTGGGAACATAACCTGAACGACCCCACATGAGTTCCTGGCGGGACCTGAGACGAGGGGAAGGGGCAAGAGGCAGACCATGGCCCGAGGGGCGCAACTTGAAGGAAGAAGAGGGGGCCATGATATCCAGGGAGACATCATGGCCCCGGCCATGATACCGACATAGGTCTTTCGACCCCCTCCAAATTATGGAAACTAATTCTCTTTTCGGCGCCCTTATTGACGGACTGGGGTCCCACAAATGGTGGAAAATAATGATTTCTCTGCGGCACCCGCCGCGCAACAACGACGACCAGGAAGAGGAGGAGGAGGAGGAGGAGCAGGAGGAGCAGGCGGAGGGGGGACGAGTTTTTCCCCGCCGAGAGAAGCAAGTGGGGAGGGAGAAAATTGAAATACCTCCTGGGGCAAGTCACCAACTGCCTCCTGGCCCCCCCCGACAATTCCCGCGCGCTGCTCCAGAGAGAAGCAAGCTGCAACACCGTCACAAATCGCGACTCTCTCGCGCCTTGGAAACGCGACGGGAGGGTTTTCGCCATTCTCGGAATCTGGGGCCCCTCGCCGGGCCCCGGACGTGTCCAACAAAAACGACTCGGGAAGAAAAACCGATCCCGGGGACTGGGTCGAGACCTCGGGAGGTCCATCCTGCGACCAACTCATGACGTGGGGGGTCTCGGGAGCGGCGCGCAATCCCAAATCAGGGCTGAACCTAAACGGTGTTTTCGTTTTCGTTTTTCTCGAATCCGCCTTTTACCGCAAAACGAAGTCGAAACGAACACGGCACACGAAATCACCAAAGGCACCGTTTAGGTTCAACCCTGTCCAAATCTCCGACGATTGAACTTTTTCGATCCGGGCGCCCCCGGTACGGGCCTCTGGGGCGCTTCGCCGGAGGAGGCTCTGCGAACCTGCGCCGCCTCGCCAGCGGAGCGCGCCATCCCGAACATCCGACGCTCTGACTTGTTCAATCCGCGCGCTCTTCCTCGACCTCGGGCCCCTGGGGCTCCCTTCCCTGGCCCAAGGACCGTCAGCACATCGGCTCGGGACGAGGCCCCACCCCCGACCGCACGCTGAACAAGTCGCAGCGCCGCGTGTCTGGGACCAGCGCCCTCTGCCCCCGTCTCTCTGCGGCGCCGTCCGAGCCAGGTCGCTCAAGGAGGGCCCCGGGGCGCAAGAAGGGCCAGCGTGAGAAAATCCTGGAAATATTTGAGCGACGGAACAAAAGGGGTTTAACGCGAGATGAAATAGCGACCTTACGCGGCAGCTTGCGCGGGCCGCCAGCGCAGCACGCCAAATCGAAATCGAAGGCACTGGCGCGCGACCCTGCGCGGGCAGCTTACGCGCCAATGTCGGCGCAGACGACTCCGTCTTTCTGCGTCGCTCGTCTAGCGGTTCGGCTTTTCGATACCTGGGCCTCCCCGAACTTCTCGACCGTTCCCAGGGGCCGGTTTTTCGTCGGCTACACGCAGGAAGGGCCCTATAGGCAAGCGTTATCTTTGCGCGGCCCTGGAGTGCCGCGCAGGGGCCAAATGCTGGAGAGACCCGTGTGGGCCCACACCGACGGTCACTGCGGCAAAGGGTCGCTCTACGGGTATGGAAGAAGGGACAACGACATTATGAACAACAATTTTCAAAAGTCTGTGCGGATTTCTTGGGTCTGCGATGAACTCCCCTTCCTAGCGCACGGAGCGTGCCGGGGGCGGCACATATATATATATATATATACATATATATATATATATATGTATGCACGTATGTATACATCTATATAAAAACTGGCCATCGCTCGGACGTCGTTTTTTTCGGCAGGATGATCCAGGATGCTCCTTAATAATCCCCACCGAGAGAAAGTGCACACGTCCGAGCGATACCGAGAAAGCATCCGGCGATGTTTGGTTTGTGTGGGAGGTCTGGACCTCTGCCCCGGGGGCGAAGTCTCGCTCTGGATCCATTCCTGTGATGGCCCTGGGGCTAGGTCGGGCCTGTCCCCCTACAGGGGGATAAAACAAACGATGATTTGTGGATTATTTTTGAAGATTCCCCCTGTAGAGGGACAGGCCCGACTTAACCCTGGAGCCCGATGACGGGACTCACAGGCCAAAATCAAGGAAGAGCGCCCAGGTTGAAACAATCAGAGGTCGTCGGGGATTCGGGATGGATCCGAAATGCGCATTTCTTGCAATATGGGGAGGTCTCGACCCTTTCCCCAAGGCCGGCTTCGCATCCTGAACCGTTTTTTTTGACGGCGGCCGAACAATACAAAACAATTTCGCTTGTCTTTGCGCAATACGTTGGAGGTCTGGGATTGCCCAATTGCCGCGCCCGGATCGTGGCCCATAGGGAGTTCCACCTAAGGCCGCAATGTCAAATTTTGAATGCCGCCGCCCCGCCCAGTCGGCACACCACTCGCACTTTTGATGGACCCCATCTGCGCTGCCCTGGGCCCAACCCCTCTCGCGGCGTGCCACGTGCGAGGAGAGGGCCCTACCGTGCGTTACCCGCAGCTGCATAGCGTTGAGACCCTTTCGTCAGGCTAATTCATTACGGTTGAGGTCTGGGATTGCCCCGCCTGGATCTCAAGGTCGCTCAGGGGGGTACTGGCTCAACAGCGAGCTGGAATCGGCGATGAATCGCCGATATATCGGCGATAGGCCCCAGACAGCGAATCCGCCAATTCCTGGGCGGGGAGGGACATCGGGCCTTGTTGGCGATGAGAGGGTGATTGTGGGCCGATGCATCCCCACCTCCCCCAATGTTGCCCTCTGGTTTTTAGGTCATGATTCGGCTCTCTGGCGGCCGATCGGGACGATCTGGGGCATCCCTGGACCGCCCTCGTCGAAGCGCAGCTGCCGGAACGCACCGCGAGGCTGCAAAAGTTACAAAGAAACGACGAACATGTCCGCGACCCTCGAGCTTGGAATCCGAATCCCGCCCCTGAGCCTGTCCCCGCGCCCCCGACCTCAAACCTCGAACTCGAAACGTTGCCCATGAAGGATTGCCCCCGTAGACCGACAACAGCCCAAAACCTCCGATAGTTAGTTTTTAACGGCGCGAGGGGTTCTGCGTCCTGCGCCAGGCTACTTCAATATACGTTGGAGGTCTGGGACTGCCGCGCCTGGATCTCAGGGCCGCACTTGCTGACCGCCGCGCCCAACGACCCTACCTTACGTTGCCTCTGACTGGTCTCGGATTTCGGGTCGTAGCTCGGCTCTCCAGCGGCCGTTCGGGACGATTCGTAATGGGAGCAAATGGTAAAACAATTTTGGGGCGGACGATTAAAACACAATTTTCGCCGGCCTGGTTGCCCCCACAATAGAGGAGGGGGGGAGCAGGCCGACGGATGGCGGACGATCCCGGGCTGTCTGGGGGGCCGGGGGGGCCCACGAGGCCGCCAAAAGTTTGCGAACCATCATGCCCTTGAAACATAAGATGTTTCGACCTTCTCCGCCTCCCCCTCCTTGACCTCCTCCTCCTCCTCCTCCTCCTCCTCCTCCTCTTCCTCTTCCTCCCCCTCCTCCTCCTCCTCCTCGTCTCTGGCTCAGACCGTTGAGGTGCTGAGCTTGCAATCTCGCCGCGCCAGCCGGGCGCACCTCTCCAGACCCGCAGCTCAGTCTGGAGGTCCCGCAACTCCGTGGCCGCGGTGGAGGTCGCAAGCATCTCTGCTGCCAGTTGGCTGGATGCAAGGGGTGGACATGAGCTGACAAGCCGTTCAAGTACTGTGGCCAATGCGGTGCAGCCTTCATCGGTCCACGGTCGGATTCCACCACCTCGATTCAGCCATCGCCAGTCGACATCACGAATGGCACCCCCGAGAGACGGCGCAGGCGCTCACGCAGCCCAGCGCTGAAGGGCCATCACAAAAGAGCTGCAGGTGTGCGACGGCCCGAAGATCCATAACCACGTGATCCAGTCGCTGTGTGCACGGCGGCTGTCCAGTCCTGGAAGAAGATGGAAAGCGTCTCGGGCCCTCACTACTTGCAGCCGTGGGGGTTGAAAACAATTAAGGCATCGACGTTGGCAGCGAAACCGTGGGACCAGCAGAGGGAATCCTTGCACGACGAGGTGGAAGTCACCAAGCGGAAGCTGCATAATGCCCAGAGAGAGGGCGAGCAAACCTGTGACGCGATGGCCAAGTTTGCCAACGATTGTGGCAAACAGTGCAAGCTCGTCTCTGACTGCACGGCGGAGACTCAGCAGCTCGAGGCCCAACGCAAGATGGCTGTGGAACAGGCCCTGAAAGAAAAACAAACACGTGAATGAC